TTCTGGGAGTTGAAGTCCACTCATCTTAAAGTGGCCAAGTTTGGACAACACTGCTCTACGGTGTGTGAGCTATACCACTTCAGAACAGTTTTCTCGAGCAAGTGAACCAATCCACATGCTACAAGAGAAGGCTGTGGCAATCCCAGAATGCTCATTTGATGTGTCAGATTTCAACCCATGGAGCCCTTGGTGCTCTCTGAGAGCACCAAGGACTCCACAGTTCAACCCTGAGCTCCACAGATTCTCTTCTGTGGCCACCCCCTTATTTCCCAACCCATCATCCTGTCGTGCTGAACAGGACTATGGAACCCGCGGTCCGAGCCTACTGGAGGACGTTGGCTTGGGAAAGGCTGCCTGGAAAGTTGTGCCCAACAAACCTCCATTGGCCAAATCAGGGAGCAGATTTTGGCTGAGGTCTCAGAGAAATGCCCAGACAAAGAGAACCGTTGGTGGGACTTCCCGCCACAGAAGAAAGCATGGCAGCGTGGCCTCTCCTGGGTTGGTAGCATCCACCCAGAGGCTGGGAAGACCCATTTGGGGATGTGGCGGGATCCAGAGTTCGCTTTCAAAGCAAAACGTATTTTCCTTTGAAAGAAAAAGGCAAATGGTTGGGCTGGGGATTAATTTCCTTCCAAAAACTGATTTTCATTCTAACTGGGTCTCCAAAGCTGCTTCAGATCAGATCTCCAGAGGTCAGGGAAAAGACTCAGCTGATTTAAGCTCCTACATGAGTGCTGTCTACCCTCCCCTAAAGGGGCATCTGTGAGCGGGGGAGGGGGGGGTCAAAAAAGCCAAGGTGCAGACTGTGATCATGTGATGCCTTGTTCATATGTTACATGTGAGATACATGTAAAATGCAGTAGGGTCATGGTCTCATGATCACAGCCACCATCGAAACCCCACCCCCCACCCCCGCTGTCTCATTCTGCTGTGACAGTCCTAAACTAACATAAAGATGGCAACGTCTTTGGTCAGTGGGATCCCCTGGTGGTCTCCCTTCCAAATCCTAACCAGGTCACACCCAGCCCAACTCCACCAGGGGCAGCTGCCCCTTCCCCACTGAGGGTGCGAATTCCCCCATCTTCCCTCCGCCCCACGGACTCTCCGTCCTTCCCCGCTCCTTCGCCGCCACCAGTCTGCCCGCTCAGCCTCACTTACCGGCACCGATCTGCAAAGCTAAGAGGAGAAGCGGGCATCCCGCGCGCAGGAGGACACGTCGGATTTCCGCCGCCATGCTTCCCCTGCCGAGACGGGAATGGGAAAAGGGGGGAAAGTACCCGAAGTCTTTTTCCTCGGAGCCTCTCCGAAGCCCCAGACCCGAGGGCGCGGCGGGCGGGCGCGCCAGGGCGCCCGGAAATGCCAGCCGCTCGTTCCGCGCGCAGCCCCTGCAAGAGGCGCAGAGATGCGTCCTCCGCGAAATGCAAAACGCCGGGTGGCGAGCTGCTTGCAATCAGCCCCGGAAAGCCTCTCCCTGCCCCCCCCCCTTTTGAAGTTTTCTTAAGCAAAAGAGCAGGAGGGGCCGAAAGTCGTGAAATCTTAACCCTGCCATTCCTGGAAGAGTTGCCTCGTCGGAGCGCCGGCCTGGGTCTCCGTCCCGAGCTTGCTCCAGGGTGGGGTTTGGGGAAGGGGCCTGGCGGATCAGCCCGAACCTTAACGAAGTCCAGCAGAGATTTTTTTTTCTCCAAGCTTCCAGACAGCCAAGTCTTGGCTAACTACCAAGCGACTACAGAGCTCCAGATTCAGCAGGATACCCTGCGGGAAATCCAGAAGCTGGGTCTGCTCAAATGAGCTTTTCTTTAAATTGATTATGCGTCATCGAGTCGGTGTCGACTCCTAGCGACCACACAGATCGATTTTCTCAAGGACAATCTGTCTGTATTCTGGTCCTTCGGGTCTTCCAACGGTGCCCCCATCACCACTGTAACTGAGTCCATCCACCTCGTCCTCCCCTTCTCTTTCCTTCCATCTTTCCCAGCATTACAGACTTCTCCAGAGAGCTGGGTCTTTGCACTGATTGATTAGTTGATTGATTACGTGCTGTCATGTTGGTGTCAACTCTTAGCAGTCACATAGATAGTTTTTCTCCAGGAAGATCTATCCTCAACCTGGTCCTTCATGTCCTCCAAAGGTGTCCCCATCACCACTGTGATTGAGTCCCCCCACTTTGCTTCTGGTCATCCTCTTCTTCTCTTTCCTTCCACCTTTCCCAGCATTATGGACTTCTCAAGAGAGCCCAGCTGTGGCAAAATGTCTCCAAAATATGGTAATTTTTGGCCAAATGAGGTTTTAGGCAATTTATATGCTGATATCTCATTTTCTCCAGCTCAGATTTCAAATCTCCTCTGAGAAGACCAATTATATCACTCATATCATCCTCTGATGTGCCTCTGCCATCATTCTCGGCGGGATCCACTAACTCTTTACAATGGACAAATAGTCCAACCCAGCCAGTTAGATTGTGGGAATGCTGTAGACATAATATGACTTCAGCAAAGTACAATATTTGACAAAGCACTCTGTGATATGCTGATCAGCAAGCTACTACTTCAGTTGAGGCTGGACACCATGACCATTAAGTGGCTATTTAGCTGGCTCAAAAATTGTAATTAAAGGGTGCTCATTAGTTATTCTTCACCAAACTGGAGATAAGTATTGAATGGGATACAACAAGATTCAGTCATGGGAGCCCCTACTTTTCTGTGTTTTTCATAATCACTTGGATGAAGAGTTGGAAGGAATCCTTGTCAGTTCTGCAGATGACATAAAACTGGGTTGGAGAACTAATATCCTAGAATGCAGAAGTAAAATTCAGAATGACCTTGAGAAGCTAAAGAATTGGCTGAATGTAAGGGAATGAAATTTAAAAGACCAAGTGCAGAGCTCTTCTCTTAGGAAATAAAAATGGGATGGGGGGAGGGGAATATTTATTTATTTATTTATTTATTTATTTATTTATTTATTTATTTATTTATTAAATTTGTATGC